GAGTTCGCCTACAACAACAACAACTATCATTCAAGTATTGGCAGCCCGCCTTTCGAGCTGATGTATGGGCGGAAGTGTAGGACCCTAGTCTGCCGGGGTGAGGTTGGGCATAGGGTGATGGGTCGGACAGAGGTAGTTTTGTAAACTACCGAGATGATACAACGGATTAGACAGCGACTGCAGACAGCTCAGAGTTGGCAGAAAAGTTATGCCGACCGATGCCGATCTGAGCTGGAATTTCAAGTGGGTGACATGGTTCTCCTGAAGGTCTCACCCTGGAAGGGTGCCGCTTCAGGAAGAGGGGAAAACTGGGTTCCCGTTATATTGGGCCGTTCAGGATTGTCACCAGGGTTGGCATGGTGGCTTATAGGCTAGAGCTTTCGGAAGAGCTTAGTCGGATCCACAGCACGTTTCATGTTTCGCAATTGCGAAAATGCATTATGGACCAAGAGGCAGTGGTATCATTGGATGACATTCAGGTCGATGAGCGCTTGAACTATGTGGAGAGGCCGGTGGCTATTTTGGAAAGGAAGAAGAAGATTCTACGAAATAAGGAAATACCTTTGTTAAAGGTATAATGGGAGCATCGGAGGGGATCCGAGTGGACATGGGAGCCGGAGGCGGAGATGCTCGAGCATTACCCGACATTTTTTATTCCAACGAACTTCGAGGACGAAGTCTAGATCAAGTGGGGGAGAGTTGTAACACCCCGGTTCTTAGGTATCGCTTAAATAAGGTTTATTGGGTTAATCTCTACTCGACGAGTTGGTGGACCTACTCGTCGAGTAGAAGCGGGATGGGATCGCATGTTAAGTGACCTCATCCTCCCTTGGGTCTCTTTATAGATTTAGAGAGTCCTGAGAGTCGTTATACGTGTGTGAGTGCCTTTGTGTGGTGTTTAAAGCTTAGAAAGAGAATCTTGGAAGAAGAAAGCTAGGAGTGCAAAGGAATTGAAGCAAGGAAGGCATGGGAAGCAGGATTTACCTCAGCTAGCATCCTTTGGAGGTATCAAAGTGCCATCCTTATTTCCTTTTTTTTTTTTTTTTTTTTTTTTGAGTTTCTAAGGCTTTTTATGGATTTTCAAGTTCGTATGATGAGCTATGCCTTGGATTTTAGAAGCATAAAGTCACACTTTTGGTTGTGATTAAGGTCCCTCTTGGGCATGAAGCCCCATTAAGAACTTAGATTTGGCATTTGGAGCCTTTAAGGCCATGCATGCACGTAAAGTTTGCAACTTTACGTTATAAGCATGCCCTAGAAGCTTGGATCTGTGATTTGGAGCCGTTGCATGGCTCAAAACAAGTCTGTATGGAAAGAGGACTGAATGGACTCGGCGAGTCGCAAGGTTGACTCAGCGAGTCACATAAAGATAGTTGTGAACTCGACGAGTTGGATGAACAACTCGGCGACTCCGATGAAGATTACCATAAGACTCGACGAGTTGAAGAACAACTCGGCGAGTCGGATGAGTTTTCTCTTGGAATTGTATGCGTGGGTATCTGTCGAGCTGCAAGGAGGGAACCCGATGGGTGGCCTTAAAGTTTGAACGATAATCGAAGGAACTCGACGAGTCACCGCGATGACTCAACGAGTTGGATCATACTTCAAGGAACTCGGCGAGTAGCCGAGGGTACTCGACGAGTTGGGGTCAACATGGACTGTTGACCTTGACTAAGGACTTTGACCTTGACCAGGGGTTGACTAGTGAGTTATGGGGTACCTTATACGGTTAAGGACTTATGAGTATATTGTACTATGATCATAGGTGGTAGAGCCGGTGTCGGGTGATTTGAGAGTTGGAGTGTATCTTCCGAGTCGACATTTGCAAGGTGAGTTATCCTCACTATATCGATAGGGTCTACGGCACCAAGGCTGGCCCTTTAGTTGTTAATGTTATGGTATGATACATGTGGTTATGATCCGTTAGATCGGAATCAGGGTAGGTAGTATGTTATGCTTTTATGATCCGTAAGGATTGGTATGTTAGTGACCTGCTAGGTCGGTACTTTAGCTACAAGAGAATGATATGATTGATGATCGGTGTGATAGATATGTTTGATGTTATATATACCAATATATGATAGTTATGTGCACATGGTTATTTGCTTGTTGGTTGGGTTGAGGCGGTCCTGCTTTGTGCTGAAGGCCAACATACCCTATGAGCGGTCCGGGGAGACTGCAGGCCTACGTGGCGGACCAGTTATACCGAAGGCTCGGGATAGATCCAAACAGACTGTAGGCCCAGTAGGGCGGTCCAATCAGGCCGATGGCCTAGTATGCATGATTGATTGATTGATTATTACTGATATGGTATTGTCAGTGTGGTATTGGTATTTTGGTGGTAGCTCACTAAGCCCTCGGGCTTACAGTTTTCAGTTTATTGTTTTAGGTACTTCAGGAGATCATGGCAAGGAGAAGGTGTGACTGTACCGCTCCTCATCCTTATGTTATGATTTTGGGACACTCTGATGGATTTGGATTTGAAAACATTTTTGTAAACAAACTTTGTTTGATTTTATTTAAGATTGAAAAAGTTTAAATTTGGCGTAAAATTTATGGATGTTACATTCATTATTAAATTGTGTTTGTACCATGTTGCAAAAAATCAACCAATGCTTCACCGTTATGCTTGAGTAGATAGACCCATACAACCTTATTGCAATCATCTACTATAGTTAGAAAGTAGATGGCACCTGTAAATGTAATGTAGGTGTTCGATATTTCCCCTGGACATCACAATGTAATAACTCAAAACAATCATTTGTTTTTATTGAACTTTTTAGAAACATAAGTCTAGTGTGTTTAGCTTTTACACATGTATCACAAACTTTCTTCTTTAACTTGCTAGAAAAATTCCCTAAAAAACGACTTAGTTAAGTTTAGACTTGGAAGCATTCCCAACCTTTTATGCCAAACATCGACATCAACAGTAGTCATCAACACTCTTCTTCCCCTACCACCATGCCCATTCGTTATCGTCCTTCTTTGCATTCATCCATGCCAATCATGCACCTTGAAAGTAAGTCTTGCATATAACTGAGAACAGGAAGGAAAGTTATGGCACACTGTAAATCTTTAATCAATCAACTAACAGATAACAAAGTGCAATTAAAACTTGGTATATGTAAGACTTAGTCGATCTTGATCCCATCTTGCAAAATACAACCACCCTTTCCTTCAACAACCGGTATGTGATCACCATTCGGTATACTGACAGGTGTTTCAAGAGAATTTCTTCTAATATTTTCAAGAATTTCTTAATTACGTGTTATATGCTTGGTGGCACCAGAATCGTCCACCCAAGCATTACAATTATCGAACTTACCAGCCGTGTTGATTGTTGGTGTAATGTTGTTTTCCTGATCTTTCGAGAAGTGCTTGAGCAACTTCTAGTATTATTTGGTTGTCGGTCCAGTATTGGACTAGGCTCCGTATACATGTAAGAAGCCCTTGCCTTGCCCTTTCTTGTTTTCCTTTGCTTGGATACCCGATTTTCTTGAAACAACCATCTTTGATGTGACCTTTTCTCCTACAGAAACTACATTGATCAGATTCCTCATGGCCTCCATGTTTATCATCCCTTTGTGTTGGTTTCTTATTAGTTTGCTTGTGATCGACAACCATACGATTTGGGATGAAGGTCTGGAAGGCTGCAACTTCAATTGTTGATCTTTTAACAGTAGAGATGGCTCTCTGCTGTTCATCTTCAGTAACGAGGTGGTATGTAACTTTTAAACTAGGTGTTGGTTTCATGGAAAGGATTTGGGTTTTGATGGTGGAGTATTCGATGTCCAAACCTATGAGGAATTCATATAACCCTTCCTTGTCTTTGGCTTCATTTAATCTTCTCCCAATGTTGCAGGTGCAGTTGGTACTTGTGCAATGAGGTATGGGTGATATCGATTGAATGCCATCTCGATAGCATGCAATTTGGTGTAGTAACCGGACACAATGCTCCATCATGTTGTGTTGTTGTGAGGATTGTTTTAGCTCATATGCCCGGGAGTGGCGGACCTTAGTGGTGCCCCAGGGGTCCAGGGCCACTGCTCCGACGCCGGCACGTAGTATAAAAAAATTAATGTTTTTTTAATGTTTTTTCTATTAGGTGCACCGACTTAAAACACGAGTGACACTACTAATATAGATTTATTTGGAGAAAAAATTTAGTGCTACCCCTACGAAAATGTTTTGCATCCGCCACTGGATGCACTTTCCTTTCCGAACCTTTCTTCTAGATCATTCCAGATGTCCCTAGCTGTGTTGGCATACACAAACTTGACATTCAACCTAATATCCTTCTCGATTGTAGTGGTTAGCTAACCCTTTATCATAGCATCACAAAGCATCCACATCATGTGGTTTTATGATTTTTCTTCTGTTTTTTGTTGGTTCATCGATGAAGCCGATCTTGCTCTTTGTGAACAAAAAAAAAATTATGTCTTGTACCCAATCGATGTAGTTTCCGTTTGTCAAGACGTCATTCACATGCATTTGTTTTGGATATTCTGAAGAGTGGAGTGAATTTAGTAAGGATAGTTGGAGTCGATGGCTCCTCCTTCTCTATCTGTTTATGATTCCGGTTTGTTTCCTGCCATCTTCCGCAGGTTTCTATCGCAGGTTTACAATTACAATACCTTAAAGAATTTGATGTTCTGTGAACTTGTAATCTTTCATATAATACGTGAAGTTAAATACAGGGGAAACCACAAATAAACTAGGAACAAAAACAAAAATAAGGACCTAGATAAACGAGATAAACATCAACTTAAATATCAATCTAATCTAATAAGATAATAACTATTTACTAAGACAATGATTCCCTTTAGTATTTACATATAAATTCTGTGAATGGCGTAGAAGAAACTTTTATGGTATTTGTATATGCATAAAGTATCGTACAATCTAACCATAAGATCAAAGTGTAGAATCAACATATACCTAATCACCTAATGAGAATGCGTTCTTCAAGAAACAGGGCCAGTATCTCACATATGCTATGATCAGTTTGTAGAATTAGTCCATGTAGATGGAAGCCGATTTGAGGTCACGTTCGGCATGTTACGAACATTAACGTCAACAGGCAGCATGCGGTATTCGATATCAAGGTCTCGGAAGACTTTAATCATTTCCTCAACTAAAAGAGCTCTTCGTTGCCATCTTTCACCCATGTCTTGGAAGTTTATACGATGTGAAAGCCATATTGATATCTTCAACCGATTCATGTCCTCTACATCTCTCAACACAATCATAGGTGCAGGGTACCAATGGTCACTTTTCTTCTCAATATAGCTGCAATCACATTAAACCGTTATTCAAGATTTCAATCTATCTAAATAGACAATCATTTGTTATTCAGCATCACTTCTAAACCAAAAAAGAAACTATCATTATGTATTGCGGGCATTTACTCTATATAGACATCGTTTATTCATTAAGCACTTCAGAAAAAAAGATTAGTATGGAGGTATACCTTGTTATTCTCTCTTTCATTAGAGAAATCTTTTCAACAGGGGTTGATACATGTACACAAAATTCCACAGCATCTCCCATATCGGGACTTCGGTAGTAATTGGCAATAAATTTTGTGGCCAAGACACTGTTCGGATATATGATTTTGAGGTTATCGTATCTCAAGAAAACCGTTGTCAATATATTCATTTCCTCGACTACCATCTGCAATCCATAAGGTTAAAAATTACAACCATAGCTAAAACAAAATCTATAATGGCAATGTGAAAATTTAAGGGTTCAATGCCAAAAAGATTTTTGCAGTATAACATCCTACTTTCATTTCTTCTTATTACATTATTGTACTTGAAACATCTATAACCGATTAAAGAAATGATATTAAAATATAAAGTACATAATTTCACGACTATAATTATATATTTTTCAACATAAAATTTCTTTAATAGAAAAAAAAAATAGAAGGTTCAAGTCTGTTATAGAAAAGAAATGAAAGTAAGATCCAATACATATAGTGATAAATGAAAATATGCCATTATCCGTTGCATTTAGCTCAATAACGTACTTTTGTTTATTATAGCATCGTACTTTAATTTATTCCTGTTACAAAGTTGTCATTTGAAAATCTACCCAATTTTAGAAATGTTGTTAATACACAAACCGATTCGTATTGCTATATTTGGATAGATTTTTCAAAATATGACTTCCTAAAAATATATAATTGAACTTACAATGCTATAAAAATTGATTTGACTTTCTTAAGTACAAAATTGTAATAGGGAGAAATGAAAGGAGAATACTACAAATAGATAAATAAATGGAAGCATGTTGTTATTTCTTATGTTTACCTGAACGCCATCGATTTCACAACGATCACCAACATCAAACGGATGCATTACAAACAAGAAAATAATAGCTTCGAATGTCGTCTTGCATGTGTTACCAAACACAAACACAACCAAAAGGAGTTGTGAACTTAGGAATATAAGAAAATGTGTAGTTGCAACTTTAAGTATAAGAAGCCAGATCACAATTATTATGAGCCCAACAGCCATATTCAACATTTGATGGAGTTTATTCACAGCTGTCTTTGTGTCATTCAGAGATAACGCGAGAGCTCTTCGTTCTCTAAATACATTAACCTAAAAAAAAAAAAGGTTTTAAGAATTCTTGTGAGCTAAATCATCATTGAGTAAGAAAAAAAAAGTTGATCATAAAGAAGAAAAATGATCGTACCACCCAATTCTTTAGAATGGCCTTACTGATTCCCTTGGTTTCATTTTCGCAATCAAAGAGTCGGATTGCCTTCAAGGCTTCATCGCCTCTTAGAAAACGCATTAAATCCGCCAGATAAATGCGTCTGTGCAGGCAAAGAACAAGTTATAGTGAAAAGATAATCCATAAACTTAAAATTACGTAATGATTATTTGCAAGAATTAGCAGTTTCTTTTCCTTGATTAGTTTATCATAACATCTTACTTTCATTTGCTCCTATTACAGCGTTGTACTCGGTTATACCAATGTCGTGCAGATACAACGCTATTTTCACTACTATTATTGGATAGAAGTTTCAAATATAATGTCCTAATAAGAAAAAAAAATGAAAGTATAATGCTACGATTGGGTAGATATTACAAATTCAATGGTTATTTGGAATTATTTGGAAGTCACAATGTTGTAACATAAGTGGAATTAGGATATTATCATAAATAAATAAACAAAACTATGTTGATACTTTTAGTATTTATGGTAATGCAAACGGATTTTAAATCACAGCTGAGCCTTAGGTGCTACAATCTTTAAGGACATCCGTTCGTCTAGGTTGTGTTTGTTATACGGGATGAGAGTACAAACTTTTCAGGGCTATTATTTATGATGCAACACAAGGACATTCACGCCTTTTGCACCGATGAGAGATGAAAAGTGAGTTCATGTCCTACCTCTTTCGTTGGAAAAAAAAAATTTGCATTTTTTTTTTATCTTATTCACATCATTCTCGGTGTCAGTCTCAATCCAATGTATGTCAAACATAATTCGACTAGTTATCTCCTAACATGTGCAACAAAATAACCTTAAAGAACAATGGTCAGTTTATCTCCAGATCCTATCATGTAATACCTATGGATTGACAAATCCCAGATTTTTGTTTATGTTCTCCACAAATAAAAACATGAACTACAAATCCACTAAGTACTTGACATTATTTCCGACAAATTTTAACATGAAATTGGTAATCACAACATGAAAATAGAATATAAAACTTACTTGGAACCTCTGTTAGCGACATTACAAAAGATTTTCTTGGCTGCAACCTTAGCTTGCTTTTCATTCGTGATCTGCACCATAGACTCATCCTCATCACATGTCGACCGCAGATGCTCATCTAAAGTAGACAAAACTCCTGTTCTAACAATATTCATCAATCTTTTCATATTCCAAGCCGATATATTCTTCTGATTTAGCCTATGCAAGTGATCAATCGTGATCCCCTCATCAACCTTCTTAGGCGTATTGGCTCCAGAAAATAGGCCACTTCTGCCAGTCACCGGAGTACTTGTTCTTGAAGCTCCAATCGACCTTCCACTTTTCTTGAATATATTCGCCTTAAGATCGGGTGGCAAAGTAGCACCCGCATTCTGAAGCTTTTGAACCTCTGCTATTATCCGATCTTCCTCTTCCCTTTCGTGTTGAATTTCAATCAATGGTGGACCCGAAAGGGTTTCGATTACATACTGATTAAATAGAGATTCTTGAATTCGGTCAAAAAACGTGCTCACATGGAAAGACGACGCAAGAACTTTGACTAGCAACGTTTTCAACAGCCAAACAATCGTACCCACCAAGAGACATACCCAAATCTTTGTAACGTAAGGCAAAACGTTTCCTTTCATCATGTGTTCGACTTTTTGATCGAATATAGATTCCCAAGCAATCAAAACTAACCCTAACCAAATGCAATTTTGAACAGCTTTTCGCAAACCGTATACAAAATACAAAACCCTTTTCCGCAGTAAGAAATTTCGTTCTATCAAGATTACAAGAATCCTAATCACCCACCCAGAAACTAATCTTCCACATATCAAAACCGATATCATAACCTCCCATTTCCATAATACGAGATCATAGAGTTTCTGATGCTTTAAATAAGGAATGGTGAGTGTACAAACTAAAACACCAAGAATCAGGATTAAACTAAACAATTGGAGTAAAGTCCATTTGCTATACCTCAATTGCCTATACCCATCTGGCAGATCATCGTCCAAAAATGGATCCTCTTCATCGATTTCACTACCAACTTTCCCTAACTTTGATGGTGTTGTGGACCTCTGATCTATCTCCGGTGGATCGATTAACCTAGAATTCGTTCTAGTCCGCATCAAGTTCGATTTTCTCTTGAATGAAGCGTTCCCGGAGCAAAGCACCACTTCCTCTCCACCAGCACCACCGCCACCTGCACTACTACGACCACTACCATTGGATCGCTGCCGCGCTGGTTGTGGCTCAATCACCTCTTCATGAAACGAGACTCTAACTTCCTTTGGCGTAAGTATGCCGTAGTTATTTGGACTCTCGGCTATCCTCGATAAGACACCAGATTCTTGCGGCGACGTCATAGCAGATGGTAAGAAAACCAAATCATCAACGTCTTTCGAGAAATCGTAACTTGAATCTCTCCAAACTGTGTTGGGGTATTGCTGGTCTATAACAGAGCTGAAACTGTATGACGCCAGCTGTGCTTCTTTAGTGAAAGGAAGATTGGTGTTTGTACCCTTTCCGATGTCTTTCCGGTGTTCACCGGAATCCGGAAGCAACGCAGATGGAAACATGGTGGTACCAGCAATGGTGTAATCGTTTTGGTGAACTGGGATTTTCTTTTCTTCAGGGTCCATCTGTAGTTCGTATTCTGATGATTTGTCGAGAGATTTTGTGTATTTGTAGATGAAATGTAAAGGGGTTTGAAGAATTTAAATAAGAAGTTTAAGACAGACACTGTGCACCAAAGCAGATGATGAATCATCAAAAGAGAAGCAGCTACTGATTTTCAAAAAGAACAACGCGGTTTTTTTTTCTTTTACGAGGGAAAACCGGAGAAAACCCCTCAACTTTATGTCAGTTTGCACTTTTAACACCCAGCAAAATATTGTTTCAGATAGACCCTCGAGTTTTATTTTCTATTGAAAATTCTAGGAATGAGCATGGGTTGGTATAGGTCGGTTTTTGTTTAAAACCGAACCAAACCGTAGAAATTCGGTTTTTCGGTTTTTAAACCCATATGGGTTTGGTTTTTTGGTTGTTCGGATTGGGTTTAAGGGTTTTTAGTTTTAAAACGGTAGGTTTAATATGCTCATTTTTTCTAATTTTCGGTTTCAAAGTATTGAAAGTACGTTGCAATAAATGGTATTGTATCTATTTTAAATATATTAAAATAAAGAGTAGAGATTCTAGTATGAAGAACAAGTAAGAAAAGAGAACAAGAATTCCTGCCGACAAGTGAGTGGCAAACGACGATGTCAACTATGAAGAAGGACAAAGAAAAGAGAACAAGAATTGACTTTTAGGGATTTAACTCAAATAGTATTGATATTGATTATTGGGTCATTAACATTCAATACCCCATTATCTATGTTATTTTTATAATATATATTAAAAATTCAATATGTAATATATATATATATATATATATATATATATATATATATATATATATATATATATATATATATATATATATATATTGTAACATCCCAAAGTCAGAATAAAGAGTTCAGGGGAGTAAAGTGTAAGTTTGGAAAAGAGGAACTCGGCGAGTAGGAGTTGCAACTCGTCGAGTCTAATCGTGTGTCGGGCACATGTTGAGTGACCGGTCTCGCCGAGTCGGAGGCTGGACTCGACGAGTCCGTGCTGGAATGAGAAACCCTAATTCCTAGGGTTTGCACCCTATTTAAGGAGCCTTAAGCCCCCATTTCAGCCCCTTATCACCCCTCTGAGGACCAGAAGCCCTAAAATCATAAGAGAAGAGCCTTGGGAGCATTTTGGAGCTTGGATAAGTGATTTAAGAAGGAAATCTTCAAGACTAAGGAGCTTGGATCAAGGAGGCTTGAGGAGATATGGTTTACTCTTCAGTTGGAGCTTGTTTTGAGGTAAGGATTCGTCATCTTGGCTTTATTTCTTCTAGATCCACCTTTTTGGAGCTTTAGGCTTTATTCAGAAGAATTTATGTTGAGATATTGATGCATGAGTTAGATCTGGAGTTGAAACTCCAGATCTGAGTTCCATATGGATTCTATGTGAAGAAATCCCTTTGATTAGCCATGCAAAAGCCAGACCTAATGAGTTAAGTTCCATTTTTACTTGGTTTTTGATGAATGGGTCATGGAAGCACGTAAAGGTAGAAACTTTATGTTGCTAATGAACCAGAGGGACCCTGATTTAGTGTTTGGAGTAAGGGAGTGGCTCTGTGACTCGAGATTATGGAACTTCACGTTGGACTCGGCGAGTCTGGGAGATGACTCGACGAGTCGGACTAGAGATTAGGCATGAGTCGCGTAGTAACTCGGCGAGTCACATGGGTGTACTCGACGAGTTTCATGAAGATAGGTAGGAACTCGACGAGTTGGAAGAATAACTCGACGAGTCTGTTAAAGATTACCTTGGACTCGGCGAGTCTGTTCTTGGACTCAGCAAGTCTGGTTGTGGAGTCCTAACCTCATCTGGTTGAGCGGTGAATCGGTGGGTCAAGGGATGACTCGGTGAGTTGAGCGAGAAAGGAATCAGAGTTGTTGGACTCGGCGAGTCATGGGGCGACTCGGCGAGATGAATCGCGATGTGGGAGTTTTCAGAGCATAGGGACTCGACGAGTCAGCGGGTTGACTGGGCGACTAGAATCAGTCAGAGAGTTTGACTTTGACTGAGGACTTTGAATTTGACCAAGAGTTGACCATTTGACTTCCAAGGGTATTTTGGTAATTATTGGTATTTATTGAGTTCAGTCTTTTGGTATTGATCAGTGGTGGAGTTCGTGTCGGAGGTTGGAGCAGCATGATCTTATTTCTGCAGATCGGCTTTGCGAGGTGAGTTATCCTCACTATAACGACAGGGTCTAAGGCACCAAGGCCGGACCTTTATCGGATGGAATTTCGGGTAGCTGTTATGTTGTTGCTTTGCTATATGTTTGCATCCTGGTAGTTAGGATGGTATATGTTAGAGACCTGGTTAAGGTCGGAATCCTGGTTTAGGATGATGCTATGTTAGTGACTGGTTAGGTCGGTATCCTGGTTAGAGTGTGCTATGTATGTGATATGCTAGATCGGTTAATTAGTGATTGATTGCTATATGATTACATGTTTATGTGCACATGGTTGGTCGACTGGGGTTGGGTTGAGGCGGGTCCTGCTTTGTGCTGTAGGCCAACATACCCAGGGGGACCGGATATCCCGAAGGCCCAACAAGCGGTCCGGATAGGCTGTAGGCCCCACGAGGTCGGACCAGGCGTGCCGAGGCTCAGAGAGTGAACCAGGCCGACTGAAGGCCCGGTGCGGGCGGACTAGTCATACTGTAGACTCAAAGAGTGAACCAAGTGGGTTGAAGGCCCGGTGCGGGCGGACCAACCACACTGCAGACTCGATGTATATCGCTAGACTCAGAGGGTGGACCATGTGGACTGAAGGCCCGGTGCGGCGGACCAATCACGCAGTAGATCCGAAGTGCATGGTTGTTCTGTTTTATGATATGATATGTTATGAGTATGATATATGTGGTTGGTATTTTGGGGGTAACTCACTAAGCTTTCAGGCTTACAGTTTTCAGTGTATTGTTTCAGGTACTTCAGGAGATCGTGGCAAGGCGAAGGCGTGATCGTACCGCTCCTCATGTTTATGTACTTATGACGTGGTTCTGGGAAATACTCTGATAATAAATGAGTTGAAAACCTTTTTGTAAGGAATTAATGAAAATGGGTTGTTTTTGAAAAGTTTAAATTGGTTGAAAAATTTCGGATGTTACAAGTTGGTATCAGAGCCTTGGTTTGAGTGAATTGGAGGAACATTCGTGTGAATCCAGTCTCAAATCAAGGAGAGTTTCTAAAGAGAAATTAAAAATGGTTTTCAAAAATAAGTAAAAGAGGATGCAGAGGATACGATCATCCGGAGCCAGTAAGTTACCCCAAAATTACCATACAAGTTATTTGTCTATGTGATATGTTAGAACAACATGCTAGTGTTAGGCTAGGGATGCTCAGGAAGTGCATGATAGAGTTGCCGGATTGTGATGCCTACTAGCCTAGGGTCTCCTTTTATGAGAGTTTCGGTGTTCCTCTAGGAGTGAGGATAGAGTGCTTGTTATGTTCGTTAGTGCTTGAGGCATTGTGATGATACTTGAGACAAATATGGCTAGGTGTGGAAGGTAGTATGGGCCCATACTACTGAAAGCACAGGACCCATACGCGTATCAAGGAAGTCACAACCCCTGGGTGGTTGATTAGAGAGTCATTCTTGGTGGTTATGCGAGGTTTCTGAGGATCTCAGGGTGTATTGCAGAATGGCGATTATGAGACGTTTCGGGGCAGGATCTGGTTCGAGATTAGGAGCAGGGGAGTGTGGTCAGAATGGGTCAGCACCACCCGAGGTTGTTGGCCAAATAAGTACGGACGAGTTGGATGCTAGGATTCGTGAGATCCTGCATGATGAGGTTGCTGCTATGTTTCGAGATGAGTTGCCGGAACTGTTTGGGTCGATCAAGACCGCTATGGTTGAGTACTTTGATGAGCGCTATGCAGCTCTTGCGGAGACGGCTTCCGCGACGGCTGCATCGGCTGTAGTAGCAGGAGGAGGAGGAGCCGGTAGAGGTTTTCAGTATCGGGACTTCGATAATACGAAGCCCCATACATTTGATGGGGTTCAGGATCCGATTGTTGCTATGCGATGATTGTCAAATGTGGAGGGATGTTTCTTCACGTGTTCATGCCCTGCGAATCAAAGGGTGAGGTGTGCTCTGAACCTTTTGAGGCTCGCGGCGAAGGATTGGTGGAGGTTGACCATGGGATCTTATTCAGATACGCAGCGGGCTACGATTTCATGGGATCAGTTTCGGCATATGTTCAACACTCGTTATGTTCCACGGGTTGAGAGAGAGAGAGAGAGAGAGAGAGAGAGAGGTTAGCTCAGGAGTTTCTGGAGTTGAGGCAGGATACAGAGTCGGTGACGGAGATCACCAGGATGTTTATTAAGAGGGCGATGTTTTGCCCTGAGTTTGCTTCAGAGCAGGCTCAGATGTCCCAATATCTGAGTATGCTCAAGAGGGATATCATGCAGTTTGTGTCTACGCAGAGGTGTGAGACCTTGTTAGAGTTGCAGGAGGCCACTAGGCAACATGATTTGGAGATTGAGTTGCAGTTGAGAGAGCAGAGGCAGGCCCCGATGCAGTCGCAGCCAGCACCGAAACGGTCCAAGATCGTTGATTCTAGGTTGGGAGATCAGGGCAGCCGCACTTGTGGGAAGTTCGGGAAGAGTCATACCGGAATTTGTAGTTCCGGTGGTGTGTGCCGTAAGTGTTGGAGAGAGGGGCATTATGCGAGGGATTGCCATCAGTCAGCCCCAGTTCAGGATATGAGGATTTGTTATCAGTGTCATCAGGTTCGCCACATGAGGGCCAACTATACACAGCTAGTTTCCAGGCCAGTGCAGGTTCCAGCACCAGCCACTTTGAGGACTACTGGCGGGGTCAGAGTGGAGCGGAGCCTCCGAGGGGTCAGGATCGATCTTTTTAGCTTACTGTTGAGGAGGTCAGGGCAGAGCCAGATACAGCTGCGGGTATGTCTCCTTTTTGTTATCTTGTTATCTTGTCGTTGTTATGGAGTATTGTATATCTGCTAGTCTCGTTCGCATGATTCATG